GGGGGGGGTCTTCCTCTTTTTTGCTGACTGTCTACCTGGGTTGGATAGTGTTCCCCAACAAATTCATATTCACTCAGGACCTGTGAATGTGACCTTATTTGGAAATAGGGCCTTTGCGGATATAATCAAGATGAGGTCGCACTGGGTTAGGGTAGGCCCTAAACCTAATATGACTTCTATTCTTATGAGAAGAGGGAAATTCAGACAGAGACAGGCCATGTGACAATGGAGAGAGACTGGAGTGATTTATCTACAAGCCAAGGAATGCCAAAGATTGCCAACAACCATCTGAAGCTAGGAGATAGAACATGGCCCTGCTGACATTTTTATTTCAGACTTCTAGCCTCCAGAACTGTGAAAGAGTGAATTTCAATTGTTTTAAGCCATCCAGTTTGTGGTATCTTATTATGGCAGCCGTAGAAAACTATGCAATTGGTAATTTACCCGTTTAGGTTCATATATTGTTCTTGTCTCTCAGATTTCCGCTGGAGGGATACCACCTTGAATACCATTGAATATTGATTTTTGAGATCAATATTTTCTCTGATAAGAATGATCAAACCAGCATAGAAGCACATTGTAGATGGGGGTGGGGCTGTAATAGAGGCCTGGGGAAAAAAGAAAAAATTACTAAAAGAGGTAACTCTAGACATTTTCTTGAGAAGTTTGTGTAGGCCTGTTTACCAAGTCAATGATAATCAAACTTGATTAAATAGTACTGAGAATTCCTAAATCATTGTACCTTTTACCCAGTGTACCACCTGGGAGAGTGAAGATGGACTAGTCAGTTGCCAGAACTATAATTCTCAAAGAGTCATCTCAGAACCAGCAATATCCAAGAAACTTGCTAGAAATGCATATTTTCAGACCCTCTCTGAATCAGGCCCTCTGAACTGTGGGCCAGAGGGCTCAACAATCTATAATCTTTTAGCAAGCCTCCAAGTACTTGTTTGCTTACTTGACTTTGAGAACCGCTGCACTAGAATATGGTATACTAATCAAGAAGGAGGTATGCAATACCTAAAAATGTTCTGAAAGAAAGAAGAATAGGTGAGAAAGCAGACTCAATGCCTTTCATTAGGTGGATGGGTAAGAGATGTGGGTATTGGGTTACTAAATTCTGTGCTAGTCCAGAAAGGAGGTTAGGAAATCATAACAGAATGAAGTAGTTTCATAATACTTAAGAGAATAATGAAGTACTACCGGTACTTATGGTGGTCCCCTGATAACATTTTTTTCTTTGTTTTTTTAACTTTAGAGCCTCAGACTTAGAAGAGACCATAGAAGTAGCTACTCTGGCTGTTGCCTAATGCATGAATCTCAAGTACAACATCCCCAACAAGTTTTCATATAGCCTTTGCTTTAAGGCCTGCAGTGTGTTAGCATCTGTCTTAGTTACTAGTACTGCTATAACAGAAATACCACATGTGGGTGGCTTTAACAAACAGAAATTTATTTTCTCAAGTTTAGGAGGCTAGAAGTCTGAAATCAGGTCACTGACGCTAGGGGAAGACTTTCATTTTTGGCTTTGAGAGAAGGTCGTCGTCTCTTCAGCTTCTATTCCTTGGCTTCTTGGTGATCTTCGTGTGGTGTAGCATCTATCTTCCTCCATCTCTGCTTGCTCACTTGCTTCTTTAATCTCTTTTATATAACAGAAGAGATTGACTTAAGACACACCTTACACTAATCAAATCCATACCAAACCCACTGCCATTGCGTTGATCCTGACTCTTAGCAACCCTATAGGATAGAGTTGAATTGCCTCGTAGAGTTTCCAAGGCTATAAATCCCTATGGAAGTAGACTGCCACATCTTTCTCCTGTGGAGCAGCTGGTGGGTTCAACCACCAAACCTTTGGTTAGCAGCCGAATGCTTAACCACCTTGCCACCAGGACTCTTTCCTACACTAATACTGTCTAACATAACAAAAGCCATTCCCAAACAGGATTATAACCACATGTATAGAGGTTACGATTTGCAACACATATTTTGGGGGGACACAATTCAATCCAAAACAGCATCTCACTCCTCCAATACCTTTGTTCCAGTCACCACCATCAGTCATTCTATATAGGACATTGAATTGGCTGGTAATCCCCAGGTCTTGGTTATCACTGATCTCTAGGTACTCACATATCACCTATATTTGGCCTGAGAGCTTAGGTCTAATTTGCCAAATTGGCTTACATCCCCTTTTAGAAAATTCTTATGCACTCAAAAGCCAATATTTTGAGGTGGAGCCAAGATGGCGGAGTAGTCAGACAATTCTTGTGGTCCCTCTTACAACAAAGACCCAAAAAAAACAAGTGAGTTGATTATATAAGACAATCTAGGAGCCCTGAACATCAAAGGCAAAGTTGAAGAACCAGACTGAGTGGCAGGGGGAGGGAGAGA